TGCCCAGACCGGCCTCGTGCTTAACAATTCTCCTGCTGTACCTTCCCATTGCTGGGGTTATAGGTCTATACCATCATACTGGACGAAACGATCATTCTAATGCATACTTTGTAATGAAGGAAGCTGAGGTCTGAGATGTGGAAGGCTCAAAGTCATCAAATCAGAAAAAAGGGCAGTAACCTTCCCACCCCTTCAGGGTCGAAGGGATTTCATTATTTGCCTTTGATGGTGTACTTGGGCTTAACTGATGACCACCCAGATACATAAAATTGTATCTTAAAACATTGTTCTGAGTATTCTAATTCACAGAGTGTTTTTTGCAGGCTTGCTGTCTGCACCTGGCTTTCTCCTTTCCATTTCTTGTGACTGATTTATTTTTTTGTATTACAGATTCTGTTGTCTTTGGGTTTATCAATATCCCCTGGATGTGAGAAGCTAGCTCACTGAGATAACTGGTGTTGATATATCTCAGATGCCTACATATACAAAGTATTCACAAAGAAAAAAGTGTGGTAATACATTGGATGGCTGTTCAGTTTTATTAGTTTCTTTTTTTTTCTGAACATGTGAAATAGACAAATAGTGGTTATCTTTGATCTCCAGCCTGGAAAACATGGTTGGCCAGTAGATAATAATAAATGTCCAAATACACATTTATCAGTTGAACTAAAACATGAAGACACTGGAGCATGGATTGCAAAAGTATAAGTTCCTTATGTGTTGTGGGCAGGGTAGGAACTACTCAAAGGCCAAAGACAATGCTCCCTGCGAGTTTCCTCCCTTCTCTGATCAGATCTCAAATGTTGAGCCTCCGATTTCACATCTCATACAAACAGTTTCTTCTTTTTCCTGAAGGTGGACTCCTAGTATAATAAACAGAACTCTGGATAATTAAAAGTAAAATGGAATCATGAATTTTATTTGTATCTTGGTTGTGTACTAGCTGAATAAACCTGGTGACATCTGCAAGCCACTGGACTCGGTATTCTTATGAATAAAAAATGACATAATAATAAATGTGTAGCCCCCCACCCTGCTAGAGTTGATGGATCACAGAAAACCCCACAAATGCTAGCACTCCATAAGTCTATGCTGTCTCTGCATAGACATAACATTAAGAGGCAAGTTTAGCTTGACACAGAGGGTGAAGATAGTTTCCATTGTACTCAAACAAGGGGTTTGAATCTTTGAAAAGTTTGAAGATGGTCTTAATCCAGTTATTCTTTAATTATCTTAGGCTTGGCAGAACTAGCATGTGACTGGTGTTATTAGAGTGTATGTGGAGGGAGTGGGGGTGGGGGTTGGTAGATGGTGGGACAGGAGCTTGATCTGTAGCCCCATCTGGCCTAGAACTCATAACCTTTTGCCTCAGCCCCCTGGGTGTTGGTATTACAGTCTGGTGCCACCGGTGTAGTTCCCCCAACAACAGTGGCATACACTTTTCCACAACAGGCCACAGTCTGTATCAGGTCTTTCTGTACCTGACCTTTAGTTTTTATCATAATACACTGCCATAGATAACATTCATTTTCATGGAGATATCTCCCCTCCTTATTTGTTTGCTTGTTGGTTATGGTTTTGAGTGCAGGTGCCCTTGAGGCCAGAGGAGTTACATGTTCTGGAGCTGGAGTTACAGGCAGTTATGAACCATTGACTTGGGTGCTGAGAAATAAACTCAGGTCCTCTGGAAGAGCTGCAAATACTCTAAATCACTGAACCACCTCTCCAGCCCTCCAGAGGACAATTCCTAGACATCCAAGGAGCCTAAAACATTTGCTTGAGAATACTAAGCCAGTGACCTACTTCTGTTCTGTTCATTTCCATCAAAGAGTTCCTTTCCCTTTCTTTAGACAAGATATAGATATAGTCTGCCTGCAAACTTCTGGGCTCAAGACTGACTCTACCTCAGCCTTCCCAATAGGGCTGCATGTATAACACCATGCTTCCCTTTTCATTTTTTAATAAATTCTTTCAGCCCCCATCTTAAATGCTTCAATACCCTACTTAAGCGTTCATCCCACTTAAGATGGGTATTTCTTCAGCTTGGTTATCTTCCAGAGCTGATGCTTGGTGAGTCTGCCTAGTCTTGTTAGCCTCAAGCATATTGCTGTGTTTGTATGTGTATATGTATCTGTGTTTGTATATGTACATGTGTGCTTATGTGTGTACATGTATGTGTGTGCATGTGCCTATGCTGTGAGTCTGCTTGGGAGTAGCGTAGGCTTTCCACCCTTGCTCCTTGGCAGGGGGCATGGGTCTAAAAACTGCGGCCTAGCAGTTTAATGTTGGCTGTAGCTTTCTAGGAATGACATTTCTAAACACCAGCAGTAAAACCTATGCCTCTGGGAGGAAGTCATTGCCTGTGTTTGGCAGGCTATCAATTTGAAACCTGAGTCCACATTCATAAAATCTACCTAAAGCCACTGACTACCTCTCTGGTTGGATATTCTCAGCCAATTCTTGACTGGCAGCTTCCAGATGCTTCACAGCGGGTCCGCAAAGCTCTTTTCGCTTTGGCTTTCTAAACATCAGCCCAGAGTCCTGTGTTCCTAAAAGCCTCTTTATCAGCTAACATTTCAAGGTTCCTGGAAAGGATGCTAATAGAGTCTGAGGATATTGCTCAGGCTGGTCACCAACTTCAGGCTCAAATGATCCTTAGGCCTCAGCCTTCCAAGTAGCTGGGATTAGAGGTATGTGGCACCATGCCAGACTTACAACGTGGGTGTTTCTTTATTTTCACATTTTACTCTCATATTAAGTGGGAAAAGGAGCTATCAGCAATGAAATGCACAATTATGCAGTTCTTCAGAAAAACAACAGTGTTTCCATTGTCTTCATCGCAAGTCTGAATTGTCACAGTCCATTGCTTCCAGAACTGGGTTTTCCTAGGCCAATGGCAGCAAGCAGGTGTTGGAAGAGTCAAGGCTCCCTGCAGGGTACTAGAAGACCCCTCCCCGTAATGATGGGTAAGTGATGATGGGGCCACTGAAACATTTTATATGGAGCTGGAACGCCGTCATCCTGAGGCTGGAGGGACATGGGAGTGGGAAGTCCACAGAGGCTGAGATGGAGTTACATGAAGGTCGGAGGTTACACCGTTGTGGAATAATCTTTTTGTAAACTGTGAAGATGTGTCATTCAGATTGGTTTAACAAAAAGTTAAGCAGCCAATAGCCAAGCAGGATTTTCAGGGCAGAGAGAACACCGGGAGGAAGAAATCGGAGTCGCCAGCCAGATGCAGAGGAAATAGGACATGCAGGAGGAGAGGTCACAGTCACGAGCCATGTGGCAGGATGTAGATTAATAACAATGGGCTAATTTAAGTTAGAACTAGTTAGTGACTGCCTAAGCTATCACCGAGCTTTCATAATGAATATAAAGTCTCTGTGTAGTTATCTGGGAGTTGGCTGCTGGGACAAAGACTGACTATAGTACACCGAAGTTGGAATAACACAGCTGTCACACGATCACTGGAGGTGGAGGGCTTATGGGAGATAGGAGGTCAGCAGTGTCATCTCACAGAGTTGTCTTTTATGTCTGTGTCCCAGCATTCTGTGCAGGGTCTCTCTATAGGACAAAACAAGGGTTTATTCCATAGTCTCTCATCGGACTGCACAGATAGTAGCTTACAGATCCTGTAAGCTCATGGGGGCCATGGCAACAGCTCCAGTGCATCAGTATCACCACCTTGTAAAGATGCTGAGAAACAGCTTTAGACTGGATCTTCTCTCCTCTGAGGTTGACTTCATGTTCAACTACTTCTCACTCCCACGGAAAGGCCCCAGTTGCCCAGATATAAGCAAAGGGCTGTAGGGGCTGGCAAGACATCCTAATGGTGAAGAGCACATCCTGCTCTTCCAGAGGACTTGTCTTCAGTTGTCAGTACCCATGATGAACTTCTCACTATTGCCTGCAACTCCAGCTCTGCCTCGCTCTTCCAGTCTCCACAGGCACACAGGCGTACACACACACACACACACACTGAGGGCTCCCAATTTGAGCAGCTGCTTTGACATCTGGCTAGATGCAGCAGAGTCTAGGGTGCTGGAAGGGTCTCCCTGATGTCTTTAAATATGTATCAAAGCTGAGAAAGACTTCCTAAGTATTAGTGAGACAGAGATGTGGCAAGTGAGGAGCTGCCACCATGTGCACAGAAAACAGTAAACCAAGTTGACAGGAGCGAAACAGCTCCTGGTCAAAGTGAAACCAGAGGCTAGCAGTCTCCAGTGTCCGCCTGTGTGAAGCAGGGCCTGGGGATCAGGGTGCTGGAAACTGAGCCTTGACCAGAGAAGGTAAAAATGAGGAGCTGGGGGATGGCTGGGGATCTAAGAGCATTAACCCTCTTGCAGAGGACCTGAGTTCAGTTCCCAGCTCCATGGCCTCTTCAGGCCTCTCATCCAGTCACAGGGACACACCAATGTGTCAAGTAAGATAAGTAGTGTGTGTGTGTGTGTGTGTGTGTGTGTGTGTGTTTGTTCATGTGAAGCCTGTTATCCCTCACTAGGGAGGGAGGGAGAGAGGGGGGAGGGAGGAAGGGAGATAGAAGAGAGAGGGCTAAGAAAAGGAAAAAAAGGAATCTAGAATGGAGTTTTATGGTTGGTGCACCTGTAATTCCAGTATTTGGGAGTTCAGGGCTAGCTCGGGCTACAGGAGATCCCATCTATAAATAGCAAATAAATCTGTAAAAGTGAGCAGAACATGGGTGTTGGCTAGCCCGAAGATCTCTTCTGGCTTCCGGAACAGCAGCAGGAGCCGGGCCTGAAAAGAAAGAGCAGTACACCTCCGCTGCCTGGGAGGAGAGTGAGAGCCTGGGTGGACCCTACGCCACTCCCCCCCCCGCCCCGGCCCTCCAGGCGGACGGGCTTGGGGAGCGAGCTGGGTGTCTCCGGGCCGCCCGGGGCCGGGCTCCCGGGGATCCGCGCTCGGCTCCGCCCGGCTCCTCCTTCGGGGCGTCCCCGGCCGCCGGCCAATGGGCGGCGGGCAGTACGGAGCGGGAAGCCGAGCGCGGGGGGCCCAACCCTCCCAGGCGTGGGGCCCGCAGCGCCAGCTCCGCGCCCTGGAATAGTCGCTGGGCTCCCGCGCAGTCCTCGCGAGCCCTCGAGGTGGCCAGTGTGCAGCGTCCCGGCTATAGCATACCCGAAGATGCAGGATGGCTGCGCGACCGCCAGTCAGCCTCTCCTACCGCACCACGGGTTCCACCTGCCTGCATCCGCTCAGCCAGCTCCTCGGCATCCCGCTAGACCAGGTAACAGCGTCCCACCCGTGACCTCGACCCTCGGTCTGGGGAGAGGGATGAGCCCGGGTCTCCGCCCAAAGCCCACAGCCCACAGGGGCAGGGGTTTCTTTTTGAGTTGGTTTGCTTTTTATGTATGAAAGGTATCGTTTACCTAAACCGACAAGTTGGACTGAACTTAAGTTTTGGTTTGTGATCGAATTCTTCATTCGATTCGCGAATCCAGCGTTTTCCCACCAGTGTACTTAGGTCTTTGTGATTTTGAATTTAGGCGATCCTACTTTAAGAGTAAGCCTGATCGAACTGGGCGTGGTGGGTCACGCCTCTAATCCCAATTCTCCAGAGCCTGGGGCAGGAAAATTGCTGCGGATTCCAGTTTACTGTCTAAGTTACTGAGTGAGACGCCTCAACTCCAAAACAAAGCCAAACAACAACAAAAAGTGTAAAGCCCGACTAGCCAGGTGTGAAGGTATATAGTATAGCATGTGGTGGCGATTGTTTGTTTGTTGAGACAGCATCTGGTCATGTAGCCCAGACTTCCTTGACATTCACTCCGTAGTTCAGGCTGGCATCAATCTTTCTATTTTGCCTAGGTTGAGCTAGAACTTGTGACAATCCGCCTCTTGTGTTGAGATGTTTCTCAGCCCAAGAGGGCCTTTGTTTCTCAGTCAATCGTCATTCATCCCATTGTGAGAAGCTGTTGAGTAGGGCCAGTTCTTGCTGGGAGAGGGGCTGTGGGGAATTCTTTTGAACTGTTCAGGAATTGCTTGCTACATTACCGTTAAAATTGACATCAGTAACCTGGTAAGAAGTGCAGCTCAGTGGTAGAGCTTGTAGTATCTAGGAGGGTCCGGGTGCTTGCCCCAGTACTGGGAGGCCGGGGGTGGGGTGGAGTGGGGTGTGTGGGGGGTGTTCTTCCTGAGGTGTAGGTTTGTGTACTTTCGTTTGGCGCCTCAGGCTATATCTCTGTGTAAGATGCCTATTGATGTAAATGGACGCAGGCAGGGTAGGTTGGAGTAAGACTCCTGCTTCCCCTGCTATTTTGTTTCTGCTAAGTTTTCCCAGTTTATTTTCCCTTCTTTAGCTGGGTTTTGTGGACATGCTTCTGTTTCCAGTACTTGGGAGACTGAGGCAGGGAGATTGCTTCTGTTAAATAGCACCTCAGCCATTTGTCCCAGAGTATGACGCTTAACAGCTTCAAGTTGGAGGCCAGCTTAGGCCATGTAGAGAGCACTAGGTAAGCTTGGGCTACATAGCAAAACTCTGGCTCAGAAATGCAAAACAAAACAAAAATTTCCGGTCTTCCTAGAGCTGTTTTCTTTCTTTTCATGCTAGAGCTACCTGTCCCTATTGCCCCTCCGTTTGTCTTCCTTTGGCAATGATGAAGTTGGACCTGGCCTTTGCACTACGTATGGAGGCACCCTCATCCTCTTAGGCTTTGGCCTCTGCCTTCTCATCAGTTGCAAAACTCTGAGAATCAGGAACTTGGTAGAAGTATCAGATGTTAAGTTAATTACTCATCACTTTGTAGTCAAGATCAGGAGTCCAAGGGACCCAGGCAGGCAAGCCCAAGAACAACTTCTTTCACTTGGAAACGAAATTTATTTGTTGCTGAATTTCCATAGGATGAGTTCCTTTTCAATTGACCTCTCTGATTCCTACTGGAATCTGTTGTAGTTGCATTTTCCATTTTATAATCCATTTACAATAATAGAAAATAATTTTTATTTTACAACAATCTATCTTACAGAGGGGGCTTCCCCCCCTTTGTACAGTAAGAAATGGATTGGTGAAGTGCTAAGGCAAATTGAGGGGAGGTCCTAGTGTGTTACTAAGTTTTTAGCTGCATCCACCTTCATCCCAAAAGCTCTGGAGTTTTTGTAAAAGTTACCATAGTTTTTAGAAGAGATTTTTTTTTATTAAAGTGTGTCTGTGTGTGCGCACACGCATGCATGTATGCATCCGCACATGCATTCACACACTTGCAAGCCCCTGGTGGATATATGTACATGAGAGCAGGTGCCCACTGAGGTCAGAAGAGGGCCTTGGATCCCTAGGAGCTGGAGTTATAAGCAACTGTGAACTGCTGGATGTGGGTGCTGGGAACTGAGCTGGGTCCTCTGAAAGAACAGTCTTTGCTTTTAACCTCAGAGCCATCTACCTAGCCCCCAAAGTAATCCTGCTTTGATTTATGAAAAGGAAGAGAAGAGCATTCCAGATGTGAAGGATTTTAGTTCATACCACAAATGAACTCAGATCATCATGGGATGAATGGAAAGTCATAAGGAACACTTGGCATCTCTGAGATCTTGGGTCAGCATGACCAGCAGGGTCAGTCTGAGCAACTTGGTGGAAGAAGTGCTAATCATATGATATCTCAAATGTTTTCAGCCTGGGGAAAAAATCCCAAAGGGTAACTAGTATAATTTGGGACCACACTGTGGCAGTGGGTTTGTCGCTGAAGCCTTTTTCCAGTGTCTTAAGGTTTCATATTCCTATTCATACTTTCTCATAAATCACATCTGCGGTTGCCTTCAATCTCTGGCTTTCCGTGCATCAAGAAGTTTTCTGTTGGGGTTGGAGAGACGGCCGAGCAGTTGAGAGTGCTTGATCATCTTCCAGACAACCTGAATTTGGTTTCCTTCACCCATATCAGGCAGCTCACCACCATCTGTAATTCCAGCCCCAGAGGATTCATAATTCATGCATGAGTTTGCACACACACACACACACCAAAAGAAAAATAAGTCTTTAAAAAAGTTTATTATCCACAAAACCCTGTAGTATATTCTGTGTCCCAGCTTATGAGAGGAAGTTTTTGTTGCTGCTCATGTCTATTTACCTGTTCTTGGGGGCAGTCTGAAATAGGAATGCTTGTGTCCAGTTACATCTATGATGGGAGCTTATAGCTTTTTTAATACTTTTTTTTTTTAAATTGGGACTTGCCTGACAAGCTTCTGAAGCTGTTAAATGTAAACTCGTATTTAATGACAGACAGATAAAACACTGAAATCCAAATGAAATATAGGAAATGGGGATGACTCAGAGCTTCCACAACTTGGGTATGTTTGCTGAAAACTGTATTATGAGGTCCAGGGAGATAGCTCAGTGGGTAAAAGGCACTCGAGGCTAGCCTGATGGCTTGAGTTCAGGCCTAGAGACTCAGGTGATGAGAGGAGAAAACCGACTTCCACAAGATGTCCTCTGACCTCAGGATGTGCACACATACTTGTGCACAATAGAAATGAATTACACACACCACACACACACACACACACACACACACACACACACACACACACACAAACCCTAAAAGACTAAACCTGTCTTTCTAAATGAGCCTTTGTCTGTGCGAACTTGGGATTTTCTAGACACTAACCTTCACTTAGGATAAATTAGGCAAGAAATTCCCTTTTCCACTTACAGGGAATAAGGAGTGGAGGGTGAGGGCTCATGCTGTCTGCAGAGAGTTTTGACTTTGGAGTGTGACATGATGGACTTTAAATTGAGCTGCAGTCTCCATGAGGGCAAGGAAGGCTGACTTAGCCACCTGAATGGAACTTGGAGTTCTGACATTATTCATTCTTGTGGCGTGTGGTTGTAGCTTGGTGACAATGCTCATAGAAAAAATTGCTTTGCAAATCTTGAGGGATATCAGAATGGTGGTGGTGAATTCTGGGGGCCCAGGACATCAGTGCCTAATGGTGTCCCCAAGCTCTTTGTGTTTCTATCAAGGGTCAGTTCAACCTTAGGCCATGATGTTCTCCCTCCCTCCCTCCCTCCCTCCCTCCCTCCCTCCCTCCCTCCCTCCCTCCCTCCCTCCCTCCCTCCCTCCCCTCCTCCCTTCTTCCCTTTCTCTCAATTTATCATCTGCAGAAAAAGAGACAGACTAGACTTAGAATCCAGGAAATGATTCTGAGGTTAAAGTAGCCAGGGTTTAAGAGTTTAACATAGGCCTGTGATCCCATTTAAAAGAGAACTCATGGAGCCGGAGAGATGGCTCAGTGGTTCAGAGCTCTCGCTGCTCTAGCAGAGCACCTGGGTTTGGTTCCGGCACCCATGCAGTGGCTCACAACCATCTGTAACTCTAGTTCTGACCTCTTCTGACCTCTGAGAGCACCAGGCATGCATGTGCTATACATACATACAGACAAACAAAACATTCATATGAATAAAAATACATCTTAATTGAAAAAAAGTGCTCTCAAGAAGGCCAGCCTTGGAGACCTGGCACTAGGCTAATGGTGACACAGCAGAAAGTCATTACGCTGAGATCTGTGACCTGAGGTTTCGGTCACCTGGTTGAAGTTCTTGGCTATGCTTGGAAAACCCAGGTTCTGGTCTTATCTAAATCTTGCCCTGTGCTGAAAGCTCTGCTCACATTCCATAGCCATTGTTAAATACATTAAATATTTATTTAATCCTGTTAGTACCAGGTACTTGGGTGTGTGGTGAAATAAAGCCAGGGTCCCCACTGTGGAAGAGTTTAATGGAGCATCTGAGGAGAGGAAGAGTTTAATGGAGCATCTAAGGAGAGGCCCACACAAGTAAACAGGTGGTGTGTACTACCAAGTTTGTCGTTGGTACCTCAGGAGAGCAGTAAAAGAAGTGCAGGACATACTTGACTCCTGTAGAATTTACTGAATTCAAACAAGACACTGGGTGAAAGTCACCTTGTATTGTGACTTTGCTGGCTTTTCAGACTTGATTTCAAACTCAAGTATTTTTTTATTCATGGTTTCAGATTTTGTCTCACTTCCTGGGGGATTTTAGATGCCCAATAAATGTCTGTTGTTCATAACAGTAGATGCCAATGTTGTTAGTTATTAAAGTTCTATGCAAAGAACAGTATTATGATTTTGTGATTTTTGGCCCCAGGTATTGAGCCCAGGGCCTTGAAAACACTAAGGCACAGTCTCTACCCAGGAGGTGATCCCAGCCCAGGAACCTTGTTTGTTTGTTTTGAGACGGGGTTTCTCTGTGTTGTCCTAGCTGTTCTGGAACTTGCTTTG